CAATGGTAACATAACACTCCTATAGGTCAGTGGTAACATTGGACTTCTACATGTCAAGGGTAACATAGGACTATTATAGGTCAATGGTAACATAACACTCCTATAGGTCAGTGGTAACATTGGCCCTCTACATGTCAAGGGTAACATAGGACTATTATAGGTCAGTGGTAACATAGGATTCCTATAGGTCAGTGGTAACATAGGACTTCTACATGTCAAGGATAACATAGGACTATTATAGGTCAGTGGTAACATAGGATTCCTATAGGTCAGTGGTAACATAGGACTTCTACATGTCGAGGGTAACATAGGACTATTATAGGCCAGTGGTAACAAAGGACTTCTACATGTCAAGGGTAACATAGGACTAGTATAGGTCAATGGTAACATAACACTCCTATAGGTCAGTGGTAACATTGGCCCTCTACATGTCAAGGGTAACATAGGACTATTATAGGCCGGTGGTGACATTGGACTTCTACATGTCAAGGGTAACATAGGCCTATTATATTATAGGCCAGTGGTAACATTGGACTTCTACATGCCAAGGATAACATAGGACTATTATAGGCCAGTGGTAACATTGGGCTTCTACATGTCAAGGGTAACATAGGACTATTATATTATAGGCCAGTGGTAACATTGGACTTCTACATGCCAAGGGTAACATAGGACTATTATAGGCCAGTGGTAACATTGGACTTCTACATGTCAGTGGTAACATAGGAATTCTACAGGTCAGAGGTAACACAGGACTCTTATCTATATAGGTCAGTGGTAATTAACACAGGACTCTTATAGGTCAGTGGTAACATAACACTAGTATTGGTCAGTAGTAACATAGGAGTGATATAGGTTAGTGGTAGCATAGGACTATTATAGGTCAAAGTAACACAGGACTCCTATAAGTTTGTGGTAACATAAGACTATTATAGGTTAGTGGTAGAATAGGACTTCTATAGGTCAGTGGTAACATAGGACTATTATAGGTCAAGGGTAACATAGGACTCTTATAGGTCAATGGCAACACAGGACTACTATAGGTCAATGGCAACACAGGACTTCTATAGGTCAATGGCAACACATGACTCCTATAGGTCAATGGCAACACAGGATTCCTATAGGTTAGAGGTAACAGACAATGTAGGACTCCTAAGGTAAGTGGTAAAATAAAACTCCTATAATTAAATAAGTGGTAACATACTGTAGGACTCCTATAAGTCAAGGGTAACATAGGACTCATATAGGTCAGTGGTAAAGTAGAACTCCTATATAGGTCAGTGGTAACATATAGGACTCCTATAATTAAGTCAGTGGTAATATTTACAGGGCTCCTAGCTATAGGTCTGTAATAACATAGGACTCCCATTAGCTAGTGGTATCAGTAACCTATATATAGCACGGCCCTATGTCCTCCAATTCTTAATAAGAAGTCGTTCAAAGAAAAGTTGACGGACGACAGACAACGGATGGACGACGGACAATACATGTACACCATACCATAAGCTGCACTGGCACTTCGTGTCATGTGAGCTAAAAACATGTTGTCTTCATTTTTTGAAAATAAGATTTTATATGAAAAGAAACAGTCATACACGTGAGCCAGCTGCAATGTTGTCACAAAGTTGAACACTAAAATTTAGTCACACATTTTGACCCTTGCAGAATCTCTAGTTTTAATATTTAATGATGACTTGAGATAGATAATTGAGACATAGGGTATAGTAGAGTTGGAAAAGAAAGAGAATATGCACTTGCAGAAGGGTACCTAGCTAGACTATCTAGCAAGCTCTCATCTGCTCATGGGGTGAACATGGTAGAGTAATTCCATCTTCAACGAATGACTGAGTATTCTTTGATCCTAGCATAATCCCATGTTTGTTAAGTATACGTAGCTATATCATTAAATAGGATTACAGATAAAATATGTGTACTGTACATGTATTGTTAGCTATGCCCAAGCTAAGGGGAGATAACTCCAATTGAATTTTCGCGCCGCGCCAAAATTTCGTCACACTTTTATACCATCGGAAGAACGGTAATTTTATCGTGCTTGTCCATGTTATAGAAATGGATACATGGTTGGAATTTTATCTTCGATATCCCTCGTCACTTTACTACAGTCTATATTACAAATATCATGGCGGAAACGCAAGGAGCGGAGATTGTGAAATATTGCAGAAGCGACAATTTCCTTATAAAACCGAGTACATCCATCAAAATTATATACAAATGTTCAGTAATTATCCCTTAAAATAAGTATATATATATGCCAATCTGTCAAAACCGTTCTTGGTATGAAAAATGCTGTTGAAATCCCAAGGGGTAGTATAACGGTAAATCCAATATGGCGGACACCTCGCCTCGAAAACGTAAACAAATCCCACCTGTACCAGACAAAACTCGCTAGAAGGATATTGCATTAACGGTTGTTTACCTATCGTGTAAAGGTATCTGTTCTCTTTGTTTTCTGTATATATTTTAAACATTAAATGATGTATATTTGTATAAATTTCGGTACTATTTACTTGTTTCTAAATGATTAAACTTTTAAATTAAGTTACTGTCACTCAGTCTTGACTTAGTTTACATACGCTGATACAGTTAGAAATTGAATAGACCTAAATTTAAATTTATTTCGAGTTTCAGTGTTGTCTGACATACAAAAACTATACAATGGTTGGTCTGTACATAGTTTACATTAAACATATCTAATTGATATGACATGCTTTTGTTTTTCAATATCATTTTTTTTTTTTTATATAAATAAAACTTGTCAGATCATACACCATGTACAAATACAATTTTTTGTTTTTAAATATTATTTTAATGATTTATCTGACTAAAACATATCAGATCATGTGTAATTACAATGAGTATGCTTGAAGACAAGTACCCTTCAGACTCCTGGGTAAGCAAATGCCACAATAAAAGGAGGGGCTGGTATATACATTAAGTACCCCAACTGAGATCAACAATCAGAAGCAATACCAACAGGCCTACATTGTTCAAACTACTAAGTTGAAGAAGACCTTATTCATGCTGCACACTCCATCAAAAACAAAATTGATAACACAACTCAAGTAGTATTCCTGACTGATGCCCTCTCTGTGCTACAAGCTTTGACAAACGACAAGCTTAACCTCAACTTGAACAAGCTTTATACACCATCAAAAGTCTGACAACAGTTCTACAGTGGATTCCTTCTCACTGTGGAGTTTGGGGTAATGAACAAGCCGATAAATTAGCAAAGAATGGTGCTGAACAATAACAGGAAGAAAATCCAGTCTGCTACACAGAGATGAAGACTATCATCAAATCTCTGTTCAACACCCATCAGCAACAAGACAGTTACCACCAACAAGATCTGACCAAACTACCATCTTCCGACAGGACACAACAGACTCAATCAACATCTATACAAAGTCATGAAAGTTGTTTCATCTCCAATGTGTCCTTGTGGAGAAGCAGAGCAGGATACTGCACACCTCTTACAGTCATGGAAGATCCATCAGGCACTGATCATGAGAGATAAGATATGGCATTCACCAACAGTTAGTGAGTGAGTGAGTGAGTGTTAACGTTACCACTCAAAGAAAAGCTATGTGGACCAGTGGATGCCCTTAGCACAGAAGACCACCAGATTTGTTGAGGAGACTGGTATTCAAGTGTAAAGGCGAACGATAAGAAAGAAGATGTGTAATTACCACTGAGACTGGTGCATCAATATATATAATTAAATGAGATTATTAATGTCATTCATTGTGTTTTGTAAGGGGAGGTAACTCTTTGTGAAGTAACATTTTAGCATCATCTCCGGAGTGAGGGGTGATATTTAGCATGGAAATCTTTCATTTTACAATAGAATAGATTGGTTCTGAAATTGTGGTAAAAAAAGAGAAAACAAATTCTCCCATATTTACCATGTTATTGACCTTGTACGCTTTTTTAATTGTTTTCAGGAAAATGCTAAAAAACAATTGTGAAATTTCACGATTTCAAAAAATTCGTAAAAATCCAATTTTGAAGATAACATGGTTCTGATTGCTGTTTTGTAATCAGGTTATGGTAGTCTCTAGGAAAATGACAAGAAATAAATCACTTTTGGTTTAAAAAAAATTAGTTGGGCATAGCTAGTATTGTACACGGAGACATGTCATCATATAGATGTGGTGCTCATTCAAAATAGATCATCACTCTACATTCAGAGAAAATCACATTAGCAACGTGAGGTCAAATTATCTTATAAAGAATATGCTATAAAAGTTGATATTTACAAATACTCACAATCTGCAAAAAGAACAGCGGTTGGGGAAGATGTTTCTGTTCTTGCTCTTCGCATCAATTTAGTTTCCAAGTAAAATAGGGGGCTTTGCTAAAGACATGAGTAGTAATCTGAACTGACCAGAACATAGCGGAATTAGAATTGTCCTGAATAGGGTCTTAACTAAATTCAAGATATCAAAAGATATTGTTGAAAGCTGAGAATTACAGAAAAAGAACATTGTTATGAAACATCTTTTATTTAATTTGTAAACTTAAAAAAAACCTCTGTCTACAGCAAGTAATGTAGACATGAATTAACCTTAACGGTTTTAAACTAATTTTCATATATATATTCAGAAGTATTACAATCTGTGAAATTACACAATTTTTAATTTGAAAAATTAAAAAAAAATGACGAATATCTATATATAAAGAGTTAGGCCTATTCCTATTCTACATTGATTCAAGAATTATTAAATAAAAGCAGAGACCTATGTAATACATAGGTCTCTGATAAAGCAATACAATTTTTACCTGAGTTGACTGGAATAAATAATGTTATAATAATTGTAAAAATGCACGTTTTTTAGGGCTTGTATATGACGTAGAGGCGAAGACCATACACTCCCTGATGAACGGCCGCTGTCCAAAAGGTTTAGTATTCAGATCACTATTCAGATATTTAGTATGATCCCAAGTCAGACGCTTGAATTAATTGTTCGTGACAAACATCTGTAAGACTCCGAATGTGTTTTAGTTTAGAGACATTAAGTGGAGAAATTAATCAACAGAAGTTCATATTTTATATTTTTCAAAAATGTATCAGTAGCTGATGGTTAACATAGTCAAAGCTTTATTTCACAATCAAGCTTTTGTACATTGTCACTTCTTTCTTTACATTTCACTTTTATGCAACTGCTTCTTGGAGAGTATGAAATCCAAGATGGAAGGAAAATAGAACCATGCATTCTAATGAAATTAACTTTTTGAACATTTGTCCGTAAATTGATTCTTTTTTGACCGATATAAACATTAAGTTATTCATAACAGCACGTGCAATAATTGGACCGTTCACCACCGCAACTACGAAAATGACAGACGAGAAAAAAGATGCAACTATGGTACGTTTTATACGCTTGTCGAGCTGAAAAGATACAAGCTTTTTTTTTTAATTTATAGTCGTATTTGTTGTAATGGAAACATTAGCTCTGTACCGGTATTATAACGACAAACAAAGATATAAAAACAGGACATATAAGACAACATGCAGCAAACAACAGGCATATAACAAGGTTTATACACACAAAAACAAGGAAAAATTAAATCACAGCATGCACTATCGTCTAGTCATATGTTTCCGCGCGTTATGTATTTCCGTGCAGACATTTTATCAAGCTTTATCTCGTTACTACGTGACATGAAGCCCCTTAATCGTATTTAAATTTGTGAGGAAATGAGCCTGCTGGACACTGCACAATGATATTTTAGACGTTTGGCCATCGTCAGTAAACGGACACAAAAATTTCCGGAAGTTCGTCCGGAAAACATAAGAAATACTCACTGTCAGTGAGATTAAAAAACACACATCAATATGCAGTTTTGCTTAATGCACTTTTTATCTTGCTCAAAATGAGCTCTTATATCGATAAACAGTGTTTTCAATGAAACGTAAAACTTGCCATGCAATGAACTTCCAATTTTAAACAGAACAAAATGATATTTCATTAATATTTGATGGGAAGGTTATAACAATCTCCCTGACCAAGTGTTGTTATTTTTCGGGTAGATCAGAAATCCAATATGGCCGCCACGGCCGCCATTTTGAAAAACTATTTCAAACTTAAAGTAAATTAAGTTCTCCTGGGCCGATTGAACTGAAACTTAATAGGAATGATCGACTCATGGTCCTGACAAAGTGTTGTAATTTTTCGGGTCAATCAGAAATCCAATATGGCCGACACGGCCGCCATTTTGAAAAACTATTTCAAACTTAAAGTCAATTAAGTTCTCCTGGGCCGATTGAACTGAAACTTAATAGGAATGATCGACTCATGGTCCTGACAAAGTGTTGTTCTATTTTGGGTCGATCAGAAATCCAATATGGCCACCACGGCTGTCATTTTGAAAAACAATTTCAAACTTAAACTGAAGTTCTAATGGGCCGATTAAACTGAAACTTTGTAGGAATTATATACTCATGGTCCTGACAAAGTGTTGTTATTTTTCGGGTCGATCAGAAAACCAATTTTGCTGCCACGGCCTCTATTTTGAAAATAACTATTTCAAACTTAAAAACAAGTTCTAATAGGCCGATTTAACTGAAACTCTGTCTAGGAACGATCAGCTCATGGCCCTGACAAACTTAAATTAACGTTATACTTAACTATTTTGTACTCAAATTGGTACATATTTCAACAACAAAAATGAATACTGTAGGAGTCAGGTGACCGTTAAGGCCCATGGGCCTCTTGTTTTTCATAATGTGTAAAAGAACTTCGTGTCTTTTAATTTCACTTATTCCCCATTTCAGTAATGACATTTTTACTCAAATGGGTAACTGTTACCCCAATGTAGGATTATTACCCATATGCGCCTTTGTGCCCAACCTGTTTAATATAACAGGTAACTGTTACCCAAATACAGGATCATTATCCATGTAGCGTAACTGTACTGGGTCGATCGTCGACGATCAGGTAGTTCAAAAGCTAGATGGGCAACAAATGTGCTAAACATTTCTAAAATGATGTTTCTTTATATAATAATGATTCATATTGATTAAACGCTATCAAAGTAATTAATCATCTGTACATATTTTATTCATGCTACCAGTCTTTGACTTGATTTAATGACATGCACGTACACACAATGGCTTTGTGTGTTTTATGGTTTAAAAGCATAGAAAATGTTATCACAGTTACATGCATAAATTGATGCTTTTTTATTTTATTAAAATAATACTAGTTTCTCCTGATTTGTATTTTGTATTCATAGAGAACGGAAGAGTACAAGCTAGAAGCAGTTTCAGAGCTTAGGTTTGAAGTGGAAACTGGGTCTGATGCAAGTGTACAACTGGATGTAAGTGTTTGATATGTATCGACAGTCACAGCTTATTCTACCTTACTTTATTGATCAGAACCGGGTCTTATTGCTAGTGACCTCAAGTCATTTAGTGGAGCCTTTAATCATGGTAGATTAGGTACATGCAGTCAGTAGAATTGTCACAAAGATTATAAGATAGCTAGCTGTGTTGCATGTGTACCATTCTTGTGCCTGTATCCCAAGGTCAAGGCAACAGTAAGGGTTGCAGGACATGTTATTTGTGCCCAGGTGATAACTTCTTCAGAACTGAATATACTGAGATAATTTTTCATTGGTAAATGCAATTGATGTCACGCACCATTGTCATATCTGTACCAATGCAAAGGCAAGGTTAATGTTACAGCAAGGGGTCAAAGTTCAAATCAGTGTATAAGTGATTTCTATACCTGTGAACATATGGACATTATCTCATATTATTCATCATTGTATCTGTGTTGTTAAGATCATAGACACAGCATGGGGTCAAAGGTATGATCATTCTTATCCATGTAAAGGTTCCTGAACATAATTTTTATGAAACTGTCGCTTGACTTGTCAATAAGTTGTGATCAGGGAAATTATTTTATTGTTTGAATATGATACAGCAAAATGTCATCAACTAAGCAGAAATACTGTCATGTTAAATGTCACCATAAAAATATTAATAAATAGCTGATAAAACACAAAAGAAATAATTGATGTCCAACATATTCTATACAATTATAACTGATCATTGTGTGTCATTCACAGCTACTGGAAGGGATGGCTGAGGTTTTTGGTGCAGAGCTTACCAAAGGGAGACAAATCACATTTGAAGAAGGAGCAAAAGTAGCTGTGTTCACATGGCATGGTTGTCTTATCAAAATATCCTTTTTGTAATTCTCCAGTCTATCAAATAAATTATTTCAGTTTGAATCATGTTATCTTGACTAGACAATGTGCTGTGTTAGGTGACATGTATTTTATCTTGACTAGACAATGTGCTGTGTTAGGTGACATGTGTTTTATCTGGACTAGACAATGTGCTGTGTTAGGTGACATGTATTTTATCTTGACTAGACAATGTGC